AGGATCTTGTAGAGGGCTCTGACAGACATAATTCCCCGTTCTTCGGAGATCCAGTCATGGCTTCTCCTGGCTCAGAAAAGAGACCAAACGTCAGTCAGAATTGTAAAAATACGCTTTGCTTGCTGCATGCAGACAGACATTAAGGCCTTTCTTTGTATGAGCCAACTTCAGGATTGCTCAAACCAGGACAGTGTTTGTCCACTTCCTATCACAACAGATACAGGTTTCTGTTTGCTATCGGGGCAGCTTTGCCAACAGAAGCACGCTTCAGGCTCAAGAAGGAGTCCACTTAAAGGAAGGGGCCTCACGCTGAGTCCTCAGATAACCATTGGGACAGGAAGAATGGATACAGAGGGTCACCCGAGGGTACGTTCCAGCACTTGCTTCTTCAGAGGTTTTATGCTGTCTCAGGCTTGGTTTTGTGTACCTTGTTCCAGGTCAAAGCTGTGGCACTGTAGACCTGAGTTCATTCCTGAAGCAATCGAACACTTGATCTCACAGCAGAACACATGGTACCACTGGATGCTGGGTTGACACCAGGCCATACAAACCCTTGGAACCAGAGGGTAAGGGGCATGCGGCTCTTTGAAGCAAAAAGTGAGGGACTCTTGCCGGTAGCAAGACTGCTGGCCGTCAGCAGATAAGAACAACAGCTCTTCTCTGGGGGGGGGGGTACGAAGGGCCTGGTGGGGGTGTGGTGTGGGAAGCTGAGCCTCTGGGCCTTCCCCAGTGTGGCAGTTGCCGATGTTATGAGCCTAAGTGCTGGGGTGAGCTGGGGTTACCACTGCTTGGTTACTTATTAACTCTGTGACTCTGAACAAGTTGCCTAATCTGGTATTTGACTCCCTCACGGGCATAATGGAATAACAGTAGTCACCTACTTCACCTGGTGGATTTGAGAATTAAATAAGTATTCGGGGAAGAGTCGGTGTGAAGCCTAGCAAGGGCAACTCTGCTTTGTAACCAGCAAGTGCTCTGTCTTCTTGAGGCCTCTTGAACACCTGAGATGGACCCCACTCCTGAGGTCGGCCCCACTCCGAGGTCGGCCCCACTCCTGAGATAGGCCTCTTGGGGCCTACCTTTTAACTCTAGGAGAGGAACCCAGTACAGGGCAGGAATCTTCTATGCCCAGGCCCTCAGCTGTCCTCTACAGTAGGTTCCCTTCTCTGCCTACTAGTTCTAACTTTTTGGCTCAGGAAGGAGTTTAAATGCCACAAAATGATCTCTTTTGGAGCATGAGGGGACCAGACTGGAAACCCTTCTCTGGTCGCCCACACGAAGAGGCAAGCCTATGGCGTTTCCCTGGCTTGAAGTTCTGTCCTCAGCAGCTGGGTCCAGGTGGGGAAAAACTAGTTTTTAGAGTAATTTAAAAAAAAAAAATCTTTTTTCGCATGTCATATTTCCAGTCAGGCAAATGTAGCTGGGCCTCCGCAGATGCTCCGGAGTGCAGGCTCAAAGGCAGCAGGCCTGCCAAAGCTCACAGCTGGAATCGGGGGCGGGGAGGACCTGAAAACCAAGAGTATGTGCAGAAAGCTAAACAACTGGGGAGCCATTATCCAAGATGAGGGAATGGACGGCTCCAAGAGCAAAGAAGGCTGTCACCCAGACACGCCCAGCTCCTCATCCTGACTGCAGGGTCAAAGCCGAGCATCCCCAGCGGCCACGGTCCCTGAGAGGCTCTTGGCTCTGAAGACCGAGACCAGGCTCTTGATATCACTGACAGGGACAAAGAAGACAGAAATGGGGGTGGGCCAAAGCAAAAACAGGGAAGGATAGCCTTCTACCAAACATGGAAATGGTCTTGTTGTGTGACGTAATGACAGTGCACACACCGAGACATGGTCATGTGTGCAGGGGTTTCTGAAAAGGGTTTCAAAGGCCACAGGGACTGCAGAACCAGAGACCTTGTGCTGCCATTGATAGCACACCTCATCCTAGCTCGTGTGACTCCACTACCATTCCTGTCACCTATGAGAGGGGATGAATATTGCGCTTCACGTGTCTTGAGGATTTAGTGAGGGGATCTAGCAAGGTGCCGAGTATGCCCATCAATCGAGAGGGAATATCGTCAGCTGAGAATAGAACAGAAACCCAAATGCAGAGGTGGGAACAGGTGAGGTGAGCCATTTGCATCCTCCAGAAAGCCCTGTTTCCCCATGGTCCAGTTACACCGAGGTTACCCCATTCCTGACCCAGCACTGTCATACTTTGGTCCTCGCTGCCTTTCTACTTGCGAGGACTGGGACACTTTTCTACGTACCGAAGTGGTTCAGGCTCCCCAGCTATCAAGGTCCAACTTGAAGGCCACCTCTTCCAGGCTTTCTCCGGTTCTTACTTCTGTCTCTCGTAGCTGGGACTCATCTTCTCTGTGAAGCCTGCGTGACTTCCCTAAGGTCAGAGGCCTGCTCCTTTCCCAGCGTCGCCAGCTCCTGGCATGTGTTGGTCAAGAGGAAACTACTGGGAACATAAAAATAGTGAGCTCTGCGAAAGGGTGGTCAACCAGTTCATTCTTCACCATAGGAAAGCCAGGGTGGAAATGGACTCCAGCTGCACCATGGGAAACTTCAGTCAGACTCGAAGAATTCCCTTAGTGAGAGTGATAGATCCCAGACCAGGTCCCTTGGGACTGTGTGGAATTTCCTTCATGGGTCTTTAAGAAGGAGTGCTTTTAATGGTTTGGGTGATTCTGAGTTTTGTTGAAGGGGCATCTCTCTTAGCATGAGTCACCAGCAACCCAGATGACAGTAAAGGGGCTTTTGGCTCTTGGTCACTGGGTTATCCAAATGGCCTGCTATGCTGAACACTAGTTGACAGGGGAGGCCACACGCCTGAGGGGAAGACAGAAAAGTCTTGCTCCTATAGGCTTTACTCTGAGCCTATAAGCAAATGAGGCATTTGTCAAGGGTTACTCACCTATATTTGAATTAATAAATGCATAAGAGACATCAGGCCATAGTGCCAGCACGCACATTTGGTGGTGGTGGTGGACACAGAACATCCTAAGACGAGAGCTGATGTCTCCAGAAGGAACCCCATGAATTAAAAGCTTCACTGGCTGGCTGGCTGGGCCCAGGAAGGCATATTATAGCCAGCTGGGCCTCACTGGCAGAGGCTGTGGCGAGGATCCTGGGGTCAATTACATGAAAGACTGGATAGCTATGTAGTGTGACAGCCAACTGCTCCGGATATGGTTTTGATCATCTTGATGGAAAACCAGACTGGTTCTGGTCCCCAAATGTCTGATGTTGGCTAAGCATCCCAGGGCTATACTCTGGTACCTTGGTATGTGCATTCCTTCCCCTAGGACAGCTCTCCCAGGCCAGGAGCCTCACCCACGTCAGCGGTTTACTGCCTTGGTAGAGCATCTCTTGGCTGCTGAGCAGGCCAAAGTCAGCCGACCATGTCTAGTTCAGCACCGTTAATTAGCTGCAGCTTAACTCAGTGCTATTAAAGGCAGCGAGAGAGGTGTGGCATCTGAGTGGAGTCCGAGAAGGGCCTGAGGAAAGAGGAAAGCCATGGCATAATTCTCAAGAGTTAGCACTTATTTTGGGGCCTGAGAAAATATTTCTTCACACCGACAAACAGTCACCTCATTTCAACTGTCAATCAAGTCTATATCTAACCATGGAGCTCTTACAACCAAACAGCCACACTGCCAGAACCAACATGATCGCAACATCAGCAAGCCATTGGGCATGACACCCTTCAAGTTCGGCTCCAGGTAGCGACTAAAAGCAAACCAAAAGCCTTTCACATTGGGAAGGCACAAAAGTCAGGGTGACTGAGAAGCCTATTGGAAAGGACAAGACCAGACAGGACAGGAACGGAGAGACATACATTTCGTTCTCTTGGCAATAGTATCAGACACGTGTGTGCTTGGGCTGGTTGTCAACTTGACACAGGAGAGTTGCTTAGGAAGAGGGAAGTTCAATGGAGGCACTGCCTTCAACAGACTGGCCTGTGGGCATGTCTTCGGGGCGTGTCTTAACTGCTTGGAAATGCAGGAGAACCTAGCCCACTGTGGGTGGTGCCATCCCTAGGCAGCTGGGCCTGAGCTGTAGAAGTAGCTATGACTTGCTGAAGAAAGCAAGCTAGAAAGCATCATTCCTCCATGGCCCTTGCCTCTTCGTCTGTTTGTGCTCCTGACCTGGCTTTCCCTTAATAGCCTGCTGCGATGGGGATATGTACACCAAAGACTCAGAAAGCATCAGCTCACAATCAAACATGTCACGCGTGTGGACTTTAAAGACTGAGTGGTGTTAGAAGCCCTGTAAACCTGGCGAGGACAACAGGTGTGGGCTATGTGTGCTGTTCCCAGAGCTCAGCCAAGGCCAGGCTTGTCAGAAGAACATGACAGATGGCTCACCTGTGACCCACACATTCCAGTGGTTTTCCTCCTTAGATTCAGGCTCCAAAGGTGCATCCCCAGCTCTCTCTCCTCCTTGATGTGGGGCAAAGCATCTGGTGAGAAGCCTCGCCCTGGGCCCCCAGGTCCCCTTTCTTCAGAGACCTCCACGAGTCCTTGGGACCTGAGCTAGGACTAGAAGTTCACTGTAAACCTGGGTCCTAATTCACAACTCAGGACTTCCTTGGAAGGCTCGAGAAGCGAGAACACTCAGTGGTTCAGGCAGTTTGCTTGTGTTTTCTATCAAGTTCTAGAGAAGGTTAACTGCTTAAAAAATTGACATTGGGGGGGGGGGGCTCCAGGAGATAAAATCATTAGTTTTTTGGTTTTGTTTTGTTTTATGGGATGTGACAATGTGAGGCTAACTGTGAGAGAGGCTTGAGTAGCCAACTAAAGTATTCCAGCATTTGACCTCTTGGTAAGCGGAACACAGAGCCACTTCCAGCTCATAGAAAACAGCTCTGTAGTTGACATTCGTAACTGTAAAGGGCCCAGACTTGTGACCTTTGATCCGTGTGTAAATGCGTATTAGAAGAAATTGAGATGTGTTGAGTCGAACTAATTAGAAATTCAAGAAATGAACACACCATCAAATGGAAAAATCATTTAATTCAAAAGTCATACTTCCACTCACTTTATAGGGATTGCCAGGTACACAAACCAAACACAGAAAGCCAAGTTTTACAGGTGCTGGACAGAAATTGTATTTTCTTTATAGATACGCACAATGGCACAGAAACACATTTTTTTTAAAAAGCCTGAACATGGCAAAACTGGCTTTTTTTAATAACAGGAAAAATGTCCTATCCTAGCTACTTTTTAATTACAGAATTTGATTCTATTCACCAGTCAATATTCAACACTGAAATTTACAACAGTGCGTTAGGATTTTCCCAAAGAAAATATTAAAGTGCCTCTTATAAGTACTTTATTGATATTATATCACACAGCACTGTACAGTCTACTCAAAGGTAGCCTAAAAGAGGGATTAAACATGCAAACAGTTTAGTTCCCAAGATACAGACTAGCTGTCTTTGAGAGTGCTTTTGAACACTAGCCTAGCATTAGCTACTGGGAATTGATGGGTCTGAGTTTTTAACACGACTTAAGAAGTCACCGAGGAACACAGCTGCAGACAACTATGTGGGAAATGTGAACGCAGGCTTTAGATGGCACTTCATCTCTATCTTTGATCTTGTGCATGGAGATCAACAGCCTCTCCTTCTGCTGAGACCCTCCCTCCAAGGCTGTCTACAAGCTTCGGAAGTGCCAGCTAACGTCTGTCTACACGTGAGGCTGCAGCTTTACACATGTAGCTATGTGCTGCACACGACACATACACACAGACACATGCACACACAACTTTTAGAATCACCAGATGTATGTTTTCACAGACACAACGCTGGTCCTGGCATCTTGACCCCCAGAAACGCTGTTTGTTGGTGCTACTCAGAAGCCTATGGGAACTATGGGTGGGGTATGACACAGAGTGTCCCGGCCTGGCTGAAGCTACTTCAGGTCACTTGGACATTGAATGACCCATAATCTGCTCCCCACCGACCACTAATTTTGATACAACAGTTCTTGACTCACCTTCCGTGGGTTAGGACTATGCTCAGTTGCTCTCTAAGACATTCCATGAAGGGTATTTTCATTTTGTTTTCTCCTATAGACTTGTGAAAAACTATTAGTTGTGGAATTCTTCCCGTGACAGTCCATTTCCACCCTTCAGCCCCCCCCCCAACCTTCCACCCCCAGTAAGAGCAATATCACAGCACTCTTTAAAGATCTGGGGCTCCTCAGTGTGGTTTATGTTTTCCTTTCCGATCCTGGCATTTTTATATGTATGCTTTTCTTCCCATGAACACAGGGCTGCCTCTGAGTGACATCGGGAATCTCTCGTCTGCTTTAGGAAACTCTTTAAGTTAGACAAGTACTGTGGGCGGCGAAAGGAAGAACACTAATTATTACTTGCTGGAGCCTTGTCTCAGGTGTGCTGGAGGAACGTGCAGGGCTCACTATCATTTGGATGCTAGGCTCACAGGCAACCACTAGATCAGCATGGATGCCGAAATCTGTGAGCACAAGAGACATTTTACAGCCCCCACTGTGGGGTGTGAGGGGCACCTGGCTGGTGAAAGGGCTCTATGGGGCAAGGCTGTAGACGTCAGTGATCACTGGTAAGTTTGCCAGAGGTGGCAGCTAGCTCCCCGCACAGACACCCAGAACATTCCTTTGAAAGTCGGGTATCTAAACAGATGCTTGGTTCCCCTGTCTCCTGGGAGTGATGGGTGGTAGAGCAAATGTGGGATGCTGGGGTGTCACTGGTGCACCCAGGAGCTCCATGGCTCTGAAGGTAGGAGAAGCAAAGGCCAGAGGGTGAAAGGTGCCAACAGCCAGCCACGAACAGAGAAATGGTCACACCATCTTTAGTCTGTTATATCCCTAGGCCTCAACAATGGATGCTTCTGGAACCTCTACGATGGAGAAATGGCTTTTGGTAGGATGGGTTCTACAGTTTTCAGGAGGAAAAAGCACTTGGCAAGGATTTCTCTCTGAGATCCAGGTGTGGCACACTCATGTCTGGAGTTATGGGCAAGTGCCTGCACTTCCCAAGAAACCAGCATGGTTTCCGGCCCACCCGGGTCAATGTACAAGTACTCGAGCTAGTTTGCTCTTTGCGTCACTGTAGAAAAGCACCCACAAGACTTCCCCATCAGCTTCAGAAATACTAAAAACTGCCTCCAATACTGATAGAATACTGAGGGGCCCACTAAATGGAGTTGACTCTTATACACTGATCTTGAAAACTGGGAGAGAATAACCTTGAGCAGTCCAGATTTCCCTTGCTTGGGGACAGGGATTTGAAACAGTTGTCTTCTCATAGCATGCTTACAAGAGAAACTCAAAGCTCCGGGGAATGTTTGGGAGTTTGGTCAATGGCCTTCCATTCTAGTAACTCACTCCCCACGTCCTACCCCAGTTTTCCTTATCTGTGGGAGCTAACGGGCGTTCAGAGAGCAGAAAGGGTACATTTCATTTTTAATCTTCCAGTTCACTTGGCTCATATTCATCCCCCCAGTTCTTCATCTGATGGGGAGAAGGGAGGCCTAGCTGGACAGAGGGAAATGGAGTGGCCATCTGTCATAGGCCACACATGGCCTGGGGGAAACTGGAAGGAGGTCAGCCTCCAAGAGCAGCTTTACACCGGGGCCAGCTCAGGAGAGGAGTGTGCATCCAAGCAGTCATGCTGGGCCCTGACTACAGAACACCTCGCTTATGATGAGGCTGGTGACTATTTAAATCATCAGATATATTAAAAGGATCACGCTGGGCTCTTTCAATTTGGAAAGCGCAATGCTATTTGAGCGTGCATGCCCTTTGGGCCCCATTTCCCAACTTCTTCTCAAGCTCACAGGAAAGAGTCTATTTCCTTTCTTCCTTTAGATTTCAACCCCGCTCCCCACCCCCACACCTGGCTGGCTTAGGACTTTAGCAATCCTCTTGCCTCTGCCTCCCAAGTGCCAAGAGTACAGGCAGGGGCCATTACACCCAGCTTCAGTGGCAGTTCTGAGACTTGTGTTTGCCTTGCTCTGCTTCAGCCTGGGTCCCTGACTGAAGGGTGGGGTCACCTTACTCCTATGAGTTCCCCGGTGACAACATGACAGTCCTTTAGCTGGTAAGCTCAATGCCGAGTCACAGTGAACTCCTACTAACATTGCAGCCACACTGGAAACTGTAATGGCGCGGTCTAGCTCCCTCTTGGCAAGTTCTTTGACTTTGGAGCTGTAGGGAACCTGGAGGTGAAAGGGGAGCACAGAAACACATCTACAGAAAGAGAGGACTCAGAGTCATAGCAGCTGACATTCTTTTGTTCTTAGAACTGATAGACACTTTTACATACTAGCTAGGCTGTATCTATAAAACCTTAGGAGGTGAGGAAGAAAAGGAGAAATTGTCTCCTCTCCTTTTGTCTGGACATCCTGGGATACCAAGAAATACACCTGAGAAGAACAAACAAAAACAAACATGTCTCCCCTTGCCCCGCCTATTTAAATCCTGAGTGCCACTTTACTGTTAGTTGGGAGTTTATTACCTGAAAATGCTTTTTGAACTCTAAAGCCCCAAATCACATGGAGATAAAGAAAACTGAATACAATTAGCTTTTCAGGTTTTCAGGTTAACCGGCAGGAACCATAAGAAACATTCTCTCTCTGGGTCAGAGAGGGGCCATGACCTTGACTCATCAGCCCTGCCTCTCCTACCCTTCAACACACCTGCTCGGCAATCAAAATCGCTAACTACATGGAGCGACTAGCTTAAAATATCAAATATAAAACTTTACCATATAATATTTCAAATCATTCTATTTACAAGTTTATCTTTAAAAAAAAGCAAAAGATACAGTAATTCAACACAATTCAAGTTTTTCATTTCTTCATTAAAGAACCCTAGGGAATTCCAGAGCCAGAGACACTCTGGAGCAACCCTGCCATCCACGGGGCTCCTGGCAGGTGTGACAGATTGTCCAGAGTCTGTCTACTAAGGTCATTCATGTGTGCAGATACCATGATTCTGTTCTTTGGAGGTCATGTGACATCGCAACGTCCAGGTGGTCTCCCAGGCACAGCAGTTAAAACCCAGCGCCTTTTATTCAGGAATCCCCTCCTAGAAGGCACCCACCCTAGCCTGGAGGCCTCAACATCTGGTGTCTTCCAGGTTCTTAATGGTCTATACTAGGCTCATGCCTGGGCACCCTAGTTCATGATTCCTTCTTTTCCTGGGTGGCAGTGTATATAGAGATCCTTTAAAAATGCAGGCTACAGGTTTGGCCCAAGAATCATCTCTAAACTCCACAGGACCTCCATAGCAAAAGCATTCTAGGGAGCAGTTGGGAGTCACTGGCAAGAGCAAAGACAGGCAGCAGGGAGAGGGGGGACTGGAAGGGACCCATCAAACGCTAGCCCGGGGGGAGGCAGCATCTTACCCTCTGAAGCAAGAACTCATTGCATGAAGAACAGAAGTATTGACCATGTATGGGATTTAATCTCAACAGGTTCCTAGAGTTTGCTCCAAACCTATCCTGGTGATGCAGACATTCACCAGAAAAGGAACAGCCCCCAGTTGCTATCCTGTCTGCCCCGGATAGACCACCCTAATGGTCTAATCCTCTGCTTCAGATTGTTGGGAGACCATTCAAGAAAACCACCAGAGCTGGTAGAAGGCGGTGTCATACAAAAAGGAGTATTATTTTTGGCTTAGTTTTAGAGTAGGTTGGGTTGCTATGGTTACTAGGTGATGGCAGTGATGGAAGCCTTCAGTGGCAGAGAACGTGAGGGGCATGTGCTTCTTTGCATAAGAGGACTGGACTGAAATCTGCTGACCATGGGCCAACAGCTGCTCAAGAGATGGTGAGAGATTGGACCTTACATAAACAGTGCGGCGACCCCTACATCCTGTGTGCTTGCCGACAGGCCCAGCTGCCTGCAGCACTGTGTCTCTGGGAGAAGGAAGGAGAGAGAAAGAGCGTCCGCTGTAAACAGCAGTAGAGGCAGCCTGCAGCGTGGTGCCCTGCCTTGTCCAATTCAGCAACGCTGCACTTTCTGTAGGACTGTTCTCCTCGTTTCCTCTTTCCAGGAGGCTGGGGGTTTGGATGACGGTTGAAATGAAATCAGGGCTCGCTATTTAGGGCACGCAGGAGAAAACGGCTTTGCAAGCCTTCCTCTAGGTTACCAAAATCAAGTGGCCTCCTCTGCTCGCTGGGTTTCAGTTCTCGCAGCATCACTGTGGTGCTGTCAGCTGAGATGATCATGGAGAGACGTGACACAAGTTCCCGGATGCATTCATGTAGGCAAGAAGCAACAGTCAGGCTCCCTGCTTTCTCAGTGGCAATGAAGAGTGGTCCACAACACCAGAATCAATAGTTGTCATGGAGACCACGTAAAGCTCAGCAGCTCTGCTGGGGCCGGAGGTTAGAGGAACTCCACGTAGTTCTCTGGGATGAGGCCAGTCTTTCCATTCAGAGTCCCCTCCAACCAGCCAGGCTCCTGAGATGGATGAACTGTGCAGGAAGGGGAGAGAGGGTGAGAGGAGATGAGGCCATGGGCAGGCTGGATGTGCTGTGCATTGGAGGATGTGGGAGGTAAGTTGGGGGAAAGACTACAATTGCTTGTTATGTAATTCCAGGACTGGTTTGAAACAGAGGTCGTTAACCTTTTGTGGGATGAAACCCTTCTGATAAGGTTGTTCTGAACTCTTTCCACAACAAAAAGGGAAACATTCAGGCATTCAAGTTTCGGGGGCTTTATGAATTTTCTGAAGTTCCTGTTTCTTTTAGGTTAGAGGTCAACAGTGGGGTCAACAGTGGGATGCCCCACCCACCCACGCACCCACCAGTCCATCCACCCTTGCACACACACAGACCTACACTCATCAACCCATCCTACCCACCATCAGCTACGTACCAATGGCACGCCCCTGGAGGATTGCTAGGAACGAGTCTTTACGGGTTATCTATTTTGCGTATTTGTTCATTATTATTTTTATCTTTTTAAAAGAGGGTCTCAATCTGTAGTTTAGCTTTGAACTCCCAGGTCTGGGCTTAGCAGCAGGAACCACCATGCCCAGCTTGACCCATCTGCTCTGTACCTTTAAATCCTTACAGCGCTGCTCATTTCCTTGCAGATCCTGACTTCACGCTGCAGGCTGCCTGCTTCCCTTCTGCTCCACCCACACCCTCCCTTGCTTTCCTATACCCCAGAACTTTTCCTTTTCCTATAAACAAGCCAGAAAAGCTGTCTGCTTCCTCTAAGGCAACTTTCGAAGTTTCTGATTTTTTTTCAGCATCCACAGACGGTAGACCCACTTCCGTTCTGTCACAGTCCCTCTCTATGGAGAAATCTGGCTGAGTCTGTAAAGCACACCACAGGGCGGGGAAGAGAGATGGATTTGTGAGCCTCAGAGACGTGTGTGTACGGGGAGGAGGAGTGTTCCTACTTGTGAACCAACCATACAAGCACAGTTCACTCTCGGGTGGGACAGGGTACTCACTCTACATGGACTAGGAAAACCCCAATTATCCAAGAGTGTTCGGAAAGAATGGATTTTCCCCGTTCCTTTCCTGGGCTAATTAAGTGACTTCCTGAGCTTGTTTTAGAAACGCACTTCCGCCCCAACTCTACTGTATAATTCTAGTTTCGGTTTGTAGGGAGAGAAGAACAGAACCCAATGAAAGCCAATGAGGAGGAAACAAAATCCCGGACTGTGAGACTTCTAAAAGGACTGATGTGTGCAGAGACATTCCTCAAATGAGGACACGGGCAGCCGGCCTCTGAAACCTTGCATAACTTCCAACCACGAGGCCTGAAGCATGAAACCTAAGCAGATGTCAGACCCACACCATCCCCACAGGGAAGAGTCTGCAGCACTCGGATGGCCTGACCTCTCCAGGTACCAAAGGTCTTCCTAGGTCGCAGATAGGCTTCCCTCTGCCTGGCCGCCAGCTGAGGCTATCATGACCATTTCCAGGTCTGCACCTCTACGATGGTAGCAGAATCTTCTCTTTGGTTTCTGGTATGGGTTAAGGATGCCACATCATTAGCTCCCAGGGCAGCTTAGAAAGTAAGGAACTCCCTCCCAGTAAAAGAGGGCCAAGCCAGGGGAATGACAACACACGCAGGTAAAGGTCCCTGTGTCTGAGGCCTGGGTTCAGCTGCTCGGAAACCATGTGAAAAAGCCAGCTGTGGCAGTGTACACCCGCTCTTCCAGCTGTGGCGGTGTACACCTGCTCTCCCAGCTGTGGCGGTGTACACCTGCTCTCCCAGCTTTGGCGGTGTACACCTGCTCTCCCAGCTGTGGCAGTGTACACCTGCTCTCCCAGCTGTGGCGGTGTACACCTGCTCTCCCAGCTGTGGCGGTGTACACCTGCTCTCCCAGCAGTGGGGGGTGGAGACAGGAGGACTCCAGGGCCCTTCCACCAGCCAGTCTGATATCTGGCTTTGGTATATCTGTACCCACCAAAGCTTCAGGAAACCTTAGATGTTCCAGACCAAAAATGAACAAATTAAACCTTGTTCCCCCAAATAAATGAGTTAATAGGAAAAATGCCATCTGAACAAAATACAGACAACCAAAAGAGCCTCTTTCCAGCACAGCTGCTTAGTGGTTGTGTGTCTGCTTCCTCCCATAGTCATTCAGATAGCATGGGTGCTGAGGAGGTTATCTACAAACCTGAGTGGAATTTGCAGACAGACGGCGGGGAGAATGGGAGGGAGCCAGGAAGACCTAGAGATGTGTTTCATGGATTCAGGGAACGAAGCAACCCCCTGAAGAGCCTGTTGACTTGCTGGAGTCTCTGAGCCACGGCTGCTTAAAGCCTAGTGCTAGACAATGTATCAGCCCCACCTGTATGCTCACGGAATGTGCAGATCCCTGGGCCCTAGGCACCTGCATTTGAACAGGTTTGTAGACGTGAAGAGCTACGACTTTCCTGTGTCAAAACACCTTTGTAGGAAAGGTAATAGTTAAAGAATGAAAATCTGAGTTTTGATTGGCTGGTGGAGGTGGGAGCCTGGATGCCCAACTCCTTCCTGCTGGAATCTGTTCCCTGGTCTCATAAAGGGCTCAGATGAAACCCCAATTCCTTTATAAATAGTATGACGGACTTGCTTCTGCCGGCTTCTCCCACCTCCTGATTTCTGGAAAATTCACAGCATATCCCACATAATGTTCATGAGTCCTATTATACGGCTAAAATGCTTCCCTAGTTCAGTTTTGTTATCAATGATCTGGCTCAACAACCTTCAGTCCCTCCCCTCTGCATCACCCATTACGACATAGCCCGACTCCTGGAAAGGCCGAGTATCATGGGGGTCACATGCTCAGAATTTCAGACAAGTTAATTTGCACTTAGTTGTGAAAGTAAAACCAGAATTTGAACCCAGAGACCAAAGCCTTGCCCTACATATCCTGCTTTGCTTCAGTAGGAGAACGTGCTTCTTGATAGTGTGAGCAGGCTGAGCACAGCAACAGCAGAAACATCACTAACAGGCGCTCCACCTGTATTAGCTTCCGTGTGAACACAGAGCCGGCTCTGCTGCTATCCTCATCTACAGGTGAAAAACTCAGGGTCCAAAAGGTTAGGCAGCTATGTAATTTTCGCAGAATTCAGACTGGAGCTATCCTAGAGGCCGGGGACATCTGACCACAGTCTGAATTCTGCTTATGCCTGCCTCAGTATGCTGGCTGGTGGGTGACGTGCTCAGTTAGTGGTTGGCAGGCTGAACTGCACCCGTCAATGTGCTACGTACACGCCACACACTGCAAGGAGCTGCCTGGGTGGCAGTCTAGAGCAGTGAACACAGAAGCTGCTAGTGGCACGGGCCAACTGCTCTCTGCTACAGCCTTAGGTACACCACAGCTCCCTGGCACGCTCGGCGCATGCTGTCTTCTCTGCTGCTAATTCACTATGGACAATGGGCAAACATGGGATACGGTCTCTAAAGGCTGGCTACCCCCAGAGGGAAGAAGCTTCCATGGGAGGAAGTTACAAACCACATTACAGCCACATTAGTCAGCCATACAGGGCAGGCAGTGGTGGCACACACCTTTAATCCCAGCAGCCATACTAGTTAGCCATAGAGGCCGGGCAGTGGTGGTACACGCCTTTAATTCCAGCACTAGAGAGGAATATAAAACAGGAGGAGAGAGAAACTCACTCTTTCAGTCTGAAGAGCTCTCTAGTGGCTTGGCTGCTTTGCTTCTCTGATCTTCAGGCTGAACTCCAAAATCTGTCTCTGGGCTTTTATTGTTCCTGCTACATTTACTCATTACTCAAATGGCTTCTGAGGTCCTATCAGAGGCCACAGACTGTGCTAGGTTCTTGTCCCTTTTGGGAAGTGAGAATTATTTATCAATAAACTAGTGAAAGGGAGGAGAGAGAGACAGAGAGAGAGAGAGAGAGAGACAGAGAGAGACACAGAGAGACAGAGAGAGAGAGACACAGAGAGAGACAGAGAGAGAATAAGGGGAGAAGAGACTGGAGGAGGGGAGGCACTCTGAAAGTTACAAGCTAAAGGCTCTCACAGTGTCAGCCGGCAGTGCTTAGGGCAGACACAAGGCCCTAAGACACGGAAAAGTTACATGTGATCCCAGAACAGTGGTCTGTAAACTCCCCATAACACGCCACAGAGTACGGCAATTCCTTGTAGTGTCATAGAAAACATACTAACAAAAAACCATGGTGACTGTGCTGCAATAAAACTTTAATTACAAAAAGAGGCAAGTTGGACAGTCAGCAGTTTATGGATATGCCCTCCTAAGCTGTGGTGCACGAAGAAAGGGTGAAAGGTCAGGAGGCAGGGCTGGGCTGCAGAGGGCCTCAGAGGTGCCTCACAGAGCAGCAGGAGACCACGGCAGTGCTCGAAACAGGGGAACAACATGATAGGATTTGGGAGTTCACTCTAGCTTGTATGCAGAGCTAGGCTGAGAGGCAAGAGTGGCAATGGCAGGGCTTGCTAGGCAGCTGGTGGGAACATGCAGGTGAGATGGTAAAATCAGCGGGATGCTGGTGTGGCAGAGGAGCAGAGAGGAGGCTAAGACAGCCTGCTAAGCGCTCGGGTCACCCACACCTGGATAGCTTGTGGTCTCTCTGGTGAGGATGCTGTCTACCTGAAAGGGACCTGGGACAGCTTGGTTTGGCAATGGTGCTTCGTTGTATACCACAATGAAGGATCTAGGTCATCTCAAATGTGTGTGTGTGGTTGCTCACGCAGGCACACAGGTGCATGGATGTATGTGCACACGTATGCATCTGTGTGTGTAGAAGCCAGAGACCAGTACTGGTGTCCTCCTCAGTTCTCCACCTTATTTCTTGAGGCAGAGTCTCTAGGAACCCTCCCATCTTCATCTGCCCAGCACTGCGATCAGAGGCACACTACCTCGCCTGACTTTTGACAAGGGTACTAGGCATGGGACTCAGGTACTCATGCCCACATAGCAAGCATGTCACCTACAGACCTGTCTCCCAGACCCTTATCTCAAAACGTGAAAAGAGTATCCCAAGAACCCAATTTTTACAACTGCCATGCGAATTTTCTAGGTATCACAAATCACACTGCTTCCGGGTGACTAATGTTCCTGAGAACACAAATTACTTCTCTTTCCAGTTACTGTCTGAGGTGCTCCTAGCAGTGTGGACAGTTTCCTGGTAGATTGGCAAGAGCTGACACTGGAGATATTTCCCAGTATTGAACATCAACCCTCTGTTACATGGAGGCCAGGAGCTGACTAAGCGGCCACCTCAGAGTCCTAGCTTGGGCCCCTGGAATCCCAAGGCTTAGAGATCAAGGGTTATAAAACAGCAGACTTTCACCCCACACACCCTTCCCTTCTCTTCCTTATTCCGCACACAAAATACAGCACACTTATAACAAGAGCTTACATGTTTGAAAACTGTCCACAGGAAGCTTCAACCTGACCGCCGCAGAGAGCCTCCAGGCTACACAGGCTTAACCTTACCTCTCCCGGGTCAACACAGGAGGCAGCAGTCGGAAAAGGCCACTTCTCCACCTAACATCCTAACTATCGTCTTTGGTAATGCTTTGTTTCTCCGACAGAGGAAAAGTAGATTTTTCCTCTAGAATAGGATCTGGTGAAATATTACCAGGCAAAACAGTTTAGGAAGTGGGTTAGCGTTTCTGTCGGGGGCCAGGAATACAGCACCAAGGATAAAAGCACTTGCTGCGGAAGCTGATGACTCCAGAACCTAAGCTAAAAGCCAGGGTGGTGGTGTGCTTCTGAAATCCCAGAATTCCTATGGTAAGATGGCAGGCGGAAGGAGAATCGGCTGGAAGCTAGACTGGAGTCTGCAGCACACAGAAGAAACAAGAGAGACCCTGCCTCACTAGACGGAGGAAGGAACTGCTTCCAGAAATAACGTTCTCCAAGGGCACAGGTGAGCCAACCCTGAAGGCATGAGAGGCGCAGAGCTGGTACCACCTCCTTGTCTGTGGAGAAGTAGTGGAGTTGAGGAGAAAGATGCCTCCCCCTTCTCCCCTACCACCTCCAGTTATCCAGCTCTCCCCTTTACCAGTTGCAACACTTCGGTAAGCAGTCCTGCAACCTCTTCTGGGAAGTGCAGCAGAGCTGACTCTGTTGATGGGGTGGGGGAGGGCAGAGGGGACTGGCCCAAGAACATGAGCATGAGCAATTTGGCCCCAACCCTTATCTGCCATATGGCATGGGCAGGGGAGAGACGCCCTCCCCCCTCTATGCCTGAGGTAGGTGGGGGAGCTGGTCCTGAGGTCATAAGAGTGGGAGAGCTGCCCCTGCCCCTCACCAGCTGCAGGGCCTGGGAGAGCAGGCTCTGCACCTCACCTGGGCAGCATAGTGGAGCTGGCTCTAAAGGTAGAGGTGTGGGAGAGTCGACCCTGAGGGCCTGAAAGCAGAAGAACTGGCCTAGCCCTTTGCTGATGGCTGAAAGGAGTGAACCTGCCAGGGCAGTGCTGGAGAGCTCGCCCTGGGATGAGGACAAGGGAGAACTGGCGGCTGGCCAACCCTGTAACTACCCAGGCCCAGAACCAGGGTTATGAGTTGGCACACCCCAACATCCACCCCATCTGTGATCTGCAGCAGCATGTTAAGGGGCCAGTCCTGCAGACCCAACGCTGCAGGATCTCTATACACAGGGCAGCAACAGGAAATCCAAGAGGAGTCCCAGTGAGGCTTTAGTATTGATATGATAGTGTAGCAGAAGCCAGAGGCCTTGAACCAGACCAGTGACTCTTTGACAGACACCCGCAAGTAAAGATGTACGGACAAAGGGGTTACTGCGTTACTCACTGTGCCACACTACAGCCTCCATGATGAGACTGATTTTCCCTATTTTCCTTATTTCTCTTAAATTTTATTTTATTCTGATTGATGGGGAGGTGTTGCAAGGGCAGAGGGCAGATATGAAGGGACAGGGAAATGAATGGGATCCAGATGCATGATGTAAAAAACACAAAGAATAATAGGAGGAAAGTTAGAAAAAAAGAAAAAAAAATGTTCTCTGACTCCACATGTGTGTCACAGCACGAGCGTGCCCACGGTCACATGCAAGCACGTGATGTCACCACCGGAGAACTCTGGTGAACCCTGGAGATCACGGGGGTGCGTGGGAAGGGAACCAAACATCTTTCTTGCTACATGTGCCTGTCTTTAAGGAGTTATGAAGGTTACCTGGTGGTGGGTAGGAGCAGTCACAGCACCTGCTGGGCAGAGCACCCCACTGGGAAAGGGAGGCGTTAGCAGGTCAAGCTTGTGAGCTGTGTCTGCCTGACTTCTTGTTGTTCACTACTTAGGTTATGTCAAAAATGAGACTTAAAATGAACGAGGAGGGGATGCGGAGCGGTGCAAGCTCCTTGCGAAAATAATCTGGCATTTCCTCAAACAGCAAATCTAGAGTCACCATGTGACCCAGAAATCCCAAAAGAACTTATTTTTTAAAAAAAACCACTCAAACATGAATGTCAACAGGATACCATTCTTAACAGGGGAAAAGTGGCAATAAGCTATCCCATCAATTAACTGGTAGATGTTGAAGTAAATTTTGGTACAGCCACACGATGAAATACTACTTGGCCATAAAAGGGAATAAATTGCAGATATGTGTTACAACATGGGTTAACTTCGAAAAACATCATTTAAAAATAAAAGAAAATACAGAGACCACATATTATGCAATTTCTATTTGCATGAAATATCCAAAGTTCAGGCATAAAGCATCACGATTGCTAAAGGGCATGGGTTCATCGTATGTGTGTGTGTGTGTGTGTGGGGGGGGTGATATCCTGGAATCAGACAGTGGGGAGAATTGCATAACTGTATATATCACTGACCCATGGCAGGAGCAGAACCGCCCCAGTGGTGACACCCATTCTGATTTGTCCATCAGGGGAAACTGTGCCATGTTAGTACAGCTGTTCTGTGCGGGCACACTCACCATGGCAGGGTTTGGGACAGTCTTCCGCAGCCCCACTGTGCCTGCTGGTCTGCTAGGCTCACAAGCACCGGCTGATGACAGGAGATGTGGCTGCACTAGCTGTTTCATGTGCTCAAAGATTCAGCATGGTGCTCTGGACTCAGGGAAGCAGGGAGGGGGACCACAGGCTCATCGGGACACTTGTAGTTTCGAACTTGCCCCAGTTGTTGCTGGCCCAGGAGAACCAGGCTGGGACTCTTCCTGCATTGACTGCTGTGTTTCCCACTGGGTCTACTCATGCCTGACTGAACAGGTGAGCAGAATGCAGGGCGTGGGGGACACCTGGTGCCAGGCTCTCTGGATGGGACTACAGTGCCTACAGCTGGCTGACAGTCAGTCGGGTTGGGCCATGCTAGCCCAAAAAGAAAAGCCATTCTTGTTACCAGATCGCAGCACCACAGTCCTTTTCTAAGATGGACACAGAGTTGTGACAATAAGGATAGCACTCTGCATATTTCCTATTCCATTCCTTCAGTACTACTTTATGCCTACACTATATATCAGCTTGACGTCCTTTTTACCATACCATGCAAGGTAGGTGTGCATTCTGCTGGGACAGAGAAGAGAAGCAGGGCACAGAGAAGTGATGTCACCACTTGAGGTCACATCAGAGCAAGTAGTCAGACTGGGACATGTACTGTGGCCTGTCTCTAGGGTTCAGGCTTTCCTATGCTGTGAGGGCAGCTGCTTCTGCTGCTTCTCAGTCACATGGGGAGAGGTGTGGTTAGGGCCAGGCAGGGGTGCCCGGCCAGACTGGTGTGACCTTTGCCCTCACTGTACCTGAGGCTAGTGCTTACCAGAACAAACGCCTGGATTGTGGAAAAAGGCTGCTGCCTCTCTGGCTTCCTCTGAAGCAAACAGAACTAACTGCCTTAACCCTGAAGGAGAACTTCACCACGGAAAGCAGCCATCACAGAAACTTGGTGTTTGTACAGGGGGCCAGATTTTCCTCTCAGGCAAAGAATTATGCCAAACCAAGCTTCATTTTTCACTATAAAATACGTTTCTAGGCTGGAAGACAAAAAAGAAATGGCATAATAGTACACCAAGCAGGTCCCCAGTTTCACGGAGCACCATAATACGTGCTTGCACCAGGATGCCATGGCAGGCCATTGCTGGGGTGTGATGTCACATGAGAGAATCTGTTCTGTGCTCCAAAGTTCAAGGGAGGAGGAACGGGAAGAGGTTCACTGCCCGCCTGGCTGTCTGGTGAGTGGGCCTTGCCTGTACAATGCAGGTGGACATCCCAAGGAGAAAGCATGACATAACAGGTGACCTTAAGCTCGTCCGATACCTGTGACCAATTGCCACGATCCTGTATCCACTCCCTTGTCACTGATTGTCTAGCTCACAAATGTGAAATACCAAGGCCAGGTACAGTCTCACTCAGAGATTGCTCCAAACAATGCAGTGACTAGATGTCAATGTGGGCTACCCAAGGTAAGGCCTCCAGAAGTCTGATTTGGGGGAAAGATCCCCTTGGCCCACGTAGGAACTTCATTCACCTGCATCCCCTCCATTCTTGTGAGATGATGGGAAACTCACCGTTATCGAAGATGGTGCCTGCTGTGAACGAGAGCTCAGAGTCGTGTTCAGCTTTGCAGGCATACAAGGCCTTTGCCTTCCGGAACGGCGTGCTGTGTGGAAAGGGGAGTTTATTTAACATTGTTTGCAACCACGAAAGCCGCAGATAGTTCATCGTTCTTCTTCCCTTTCCTTGCAAGCCACCTAGCCCTCTCTCCTGGGAAGAGCCTGCACAGGGTAGACAGATGGCAAAACAGGAGGTGGGAAAGTCTTAAAGGCCACAGGAGAGAGCTGAGGAAGAGTCAGGAAAAGGCCATGCTCTAAGAAGCCACAATTCTCCAAAGTCACCTTGTGCCCCAGAGAAAGTTTACCTGGGAGTTACAAGAGCTGGGCCTGGGAGGGGAGGGGAGGGGAGAGCTTCCAGGGAGGGAGTGTTAGGGGTAGGAAGGGACCACAGGGCTCTGCACAATGTTCCCAACAGTTGCTCTGGGAAGTTGGCAAAGCCCAGTGAACCCAAAGTCCAGCAGAGCCAGCTTGCAGCCCTCCCCCTAGATGTTCTCCATCGCTGGTGGGGCAGCCTTCCAGAGCTGGAACTCTCCAGCCCCCAGGGCAGGCAAGGCTGGAGGAGGCGTGGGAAGCAGTGCGTGAGCACATGTATGCACCAGGGTGGGAGTCTGCGGGGAGTCGGGAGGGGCATAGGTTGAGTCTGTGTTTTGTTTTGGGTCCTCCTGTTCAATGAATGTGGACAAAGCTCTCCCCATGCTATCAGCATGCCCTTGAGAGCATTTACACGCCCTATTGGCTTGCATATAAAACTATAAGCAATAGAACTGGAACCGAAATGTTCGCATGTCACTTTCCAAGGCATCGTTACACACGGCCAGAGTCGGGGCTGGCACATTTTTGTGGTAACGGGCCAATCTTTGAGTTCTTGAAGGCATGTGGTCTCTGTTGTAACTGCTTCACGCTGCACTGCCGCACACAGCAGCCAGGGACACCACGGAAACAAACCAGCGAGGCCACATTCCAGTAAAAAGTCATCTACTAAAGAACAGGGGCAGTGTTTGACCATCACAGGCCATGAGGGGTAAGCCCATGTGTCTTCAGGGTCATTTGTGGGAACAGGGTAATTGTACTTTCTTCCACCATCAAGCTTGACTTTGGTACCCGACTATTCTTAGCAGTCTGTAGACTGTTCACAGGTCACAGTGACATCTGACTGTCAAGAGGCTGCTCTTTATTTGCCACAAGTGACTCTCTTTCTCCAAGTCATCTGAGGGAGTACACTCTGGAATCCAGAAGTACAAGTTTTAAAAAGCCAGAGGGCCTCTGGCATAAGAAGCCAGTCAGGAGATGTATGTCATTGAATTTGTCTTCACTTGACAATCTGAGAGCCTCCTAGAACTGGAAATGCCCCGGCTGACAGGGGATCTGGGTCTGCTGAAACTGCTATTGCTTAGGGGTACCAAGTGCAGGTTCTCTTTGGGAAGGATGAGCAGTGGGTGATGGGGGTATTCCTTCTAGCCTTGGGTCCATGAAAATGGAAAGACAGACAACTGACAGGGTCTGTTGTACATCAGGGTGAGTGGAGTTGCCAGGGAAACAACAGTTGATGGTAGCTCTCCCTGGTTTTCTTATAGCCAATGGGTGATGCTGGGAAGGGGAGAACTGGGAAAGCAGAAGGAAATGATACAGGGGCACTGGGGATGAAGGAGAAAGGCCTCAGTTCCCATCAGTCCCAGCTCTTCTGATCTAATCACATTAAATAATAAACCTGCATGTGGGTTAGCCAGGGCCCAGCAGTCAATGTGTATCTCTTCACGGTGAACAAAATGCAGCCTCCTTTCCCCACCTCCTGCCCTGATCATGGGTGAAGAACAGCCAGGAGGCTGTGAAAGGGGCTAAAACAGCCCAGCATTATACTGTGAAGCCTGTGGTGTCTTGACTGATATGCAGGTTATAAGGAGAATCCAGGCCATAGGAGCCAAGGGTGAGCCCAGGGCTGCCTCTGAGGACAGAGCAGCACAGGTGGGCAGTGTGAGGAGACCAGGGAAGGCAAGGTTTCTCTGGATGGGGTTTCCCGAGAGGTTACTTACTAACCTCATTAAATAAAGGTCATGGGACAGAATAGGGGCAGCCCAGGAAACCAGTAAGACTGTCTGGCAAGCAGACAGCAGAGACCATGGTCTCTAGCACCCACAACTACTATTAGAAGGGATTAACTTTCCAACAATATTAAAAATTTGCAATTTAGTAATGAAATGTCGAGAAAACATTGTACTAAAAGTAAAATGAAGGTCATGAGAGACTCTGTTTTTCTCTAACAGGTAATTGACAACTGATGGGAAAATCCTCCCACAACTGCCTAATGGTGTTCAGAAAACAGAGGGATGCAGAAGGGGTGTGCTCTCTCTCTCTCTCTCTCTCTCTCTCTCTCTCTCTCTCTCTGTCTCTCTCTCTCTCTCTCTCTCTCTCTCACACACACACACACACACACATCCCTATAGGGCTGGGATCAAACGTAGGGTGCCACGGATAGCGTAAGCAAGCACCAATCGTGTCTCTAGTCCCAGAGGGCATGCTTTTGAAGGGGGTTGTTCCCATTCCCAAGAAGTATGGTCACCATAGGAAGTAATGGACACCTAGTCAAATCTGGATTTCATATAAATAATGCAGACTTTTTTGCGTATATGTCTACTAAGAAATATATTTCTTATTTACCTTAAATTCAAATTTAACTGAGTAGGCTGTTTTTATTTGGTTCGGCAACCCTAACTGGGGAAGTCATGTCTTATTAAAGTCTGCCATTGCTATAAGCCTTGTACCCCATAGCTCGCTCTGAAAGTTCCTAAGGCATTTGCTTTATGTGAAGGGTCTCACCAAACAGATCCTGTTGGCTAAAGTCTGGGGTTGGGAAGCGCTGGCTCTGGTTGAAGCCGGCACTGTTGGTCGCTTGGCTCCCTACTCTGCAGTTGGACACGGGCTAGGGAGGTGCTAGCAGGCCCCATCACAGCATTCTTTAGCTCTGGGATGGGCCTTCAAGGGCATGAGCAACTCTGGAACCTTCTGCTGGTTCACTTTCAGTGTTTGCCTTTGAGCGTGGAACGAGGCCAGGAAAACACTCAGAGGAATTTCCCTCAAATGCCCTTGCAAGCTCTGCAGAATGACAACCCACTCTCTATGGTGTGCGCGCTCCTGGAGGAGGGGCCAGCCTGCAGTGATCTGATCATTAAGACAGTTCCCCAGGGCCCAAGTGCAAATACAAATTAGGGTCTAATGAGGGGCTTCCTGGGAAGTAGATGGGAAAATGGGAAAAAACAAAACAAGGGCAAAGGTTAAAGGGGCTTTCTCCAGTGCCCATCTCTTCTGTGCAGTTAAAGGTACCTCTACTTCTGAACTTGAAACAAGGAGTTAGACAGCAGACTGGAGAGTGGAAGCCATTGTCCTGGTTCCCAGGACCCCAATTAGGCCTCATTCAGAATCTGTTGTTAAAAGATTTGCCAAAGGAAAGAAAAACTGAAGCTTTATGTTCTGTTAGTCAATTTGGGGAAAGGTGACACTTGACCTGAACAATGGGTGTACTCCCCCAACTCTTGGCTATACACCGTAACAGCAATTACGGACTAGAACCCACCTCTGGCCTCCTAGTGGGCTACTTTTCCATCAGGGTTCCATCTGTGCTTACCTTAACATAAGCATGTAACTCAGTGAATTGAATTAAGCCCTACTGTGATTTGCCTATTTAAAAATGACAGATTCCTAAAGGATTGTGGGGCATCTTCATAATGGTGCCCTTTTAAAGGACACCAGAGGGGGCAGTATTGAGTAACTACTTGTGTGTAGGCTAGCCCCATTCCCCTAATGAAAAATAAAATTTATGCCCTGGAAATGCTGAGGCATGCATGGGCAGCCTGTATATGGCGGTTCTGTTGAACTTGTCCATGGTCTAAGGTGATGAGGACAACTGACCAGGTCTCTTCCTCCACTCATGCCCAAGGCTATTTAGGAAATAAATGAGTCACTGTGGTTGGTCCGTTCCAGGGCCTCATGGGTCAATGAGGGGCCTACCTGGAATAATCCATATGGTTTCTGGTGTGCTAGAAAGTAAATGTCTCCTAAAGTGTCTAGCAGTTGCCTAAGAAATCATTCACAAAGAGCTTAAAGTGTTAGGAAAACAGGATCTAATTTTTACTTTATTTATGAAGTGAAGACAAAAAAAAATACACTGCACAGCCATATTTCCCATCATCCAGAACCAAGGTAGATGGAAAGCCGTGTCTGATCCCGCAGAGCTGAGGGCTGGGATGGCACAGAAATTTACTGGGGTTGTCCCGGTCTTTAGAATAAAAATGCTGGGAAGATGGCAAGAACTCCTAACTCTGCAATGGCTCTCATTTAATGAAGTGACCATTTTCTTTTTCCACAATGTTGTTTGGGCCATTTCTCTTCCTGCCCTTATATGAGTCTAGAATGACGCAACAGATAGGAAAACGCCCAAAGGGAAGAAAGTCACGAGCCTGCGTATACAGAGAGCATAGCTTTCTAAAAGGCGAGAGTCCTCCCTGGTGGAGCCAGAAAAGGCAGTATGCAAAATTCCCACCAAAATCAAGAATGTCCTGATGCTTCTCCCCTGTACTATGGCTTGTTGGCTGCCGAGTCTGAGAGCTGGCCACGAGGGCCCCTAGCAGCAGAAGGCACCTGCAGGATCTTTATTCCACCCTTTCCTGGAGGTGAGAGCTTCTTTTCTACAAAGAAGCTCAGGAGCAACCCCTGCTGAGCTCTCCAAGACAGGCCTGAAGCAAGGCCCTCTGGGAGAAGAGCGAGGTCAAGCCACTCACCCTCAGAAAAGAGGTGGTGCCTGTTCCCATGAGCACTCTGAGTTCATGACCTTCAGAGACAGAAGATTCCTGGAGTACATGAGGTAGGGAGGCAGAAGACCTGAGCAGTTTAAAGAGCAAGTGTGTCATGTCTCGGTCTTTCCCTCTGTGCTATATTCCTCTCACTCTGTGGATTTGGCCTGTGACTTGATGTCAGGAATACAGGCCCGACCCACAAGCACACAGTGCCAAATATTACCTGATAACCAAGTGGCGAGGAAAGTGTGTATGTGTGTCAACACTGCTCCTTTGGATATTATCTTCAACCAAAACATGGAGGGCCCAGTGACTCAGAAAATATTCAACACACAAGTGCTATTTTTGGAGATCCCCATTCCTCAAATCTAAGCACCAGAGATTAATTCAGAAATGTGGGTAAGGTTAGAAAGGGTTTTAAAGATGTCATGCAGGGCCATGCGTATTGTGCCTCTTGGTTTGGCTTCTTAGGAGGGAATCACACGAGAGCAGAGGAGGCCCCCAGTGTCCCTGACCAGCTCTGCATACGGGAACAGGTCAGTCACCATCCGTGGTTTTACCTGGAGTCTTCACGAACCGCTTCTTCTGGCCTGTCAAAAAGCAAGTGCAGGTTTGGATGGCAGGGAACAGAGTTGACGAGGAGGCTGAACACTGCGTGAAGAGAGGACCAAGCCAATGAGAGAACAACAGCAGCAACAGAAAATCAAACCAACCCTGCAACAGACCTGGCGGGGGATGAGTCGCTGGACGTGGATGAGGTGGGCATAGGGCTGGATGGCGCCGAGAACATGGGCCATGATGGCGAGAGGGGTGAAGTTGGGCTTGGATTCGGGGGGCTGCAAGACATAACAACCAGAAAACTCATCAGCACACAGGGAAACCACAGTGGGAGCACAGGAGGTTCATGGAGAGGCCAAATGACAGGGTGCTGCAGCAGAACACGGGAGCACCAAAGTCCAGAGGCATGCTGCCCAGTCTCCGTGCTCAAGGTTGGTCGTTTGCGTCTTCCAAGGAACGCCTTTGCCCTGATGTCTTGATGCACAAGCATGTCCTTTGCCCCATCTCACAACTGCTTTCTGGGTGACCCGAGCTTTTCCATTATCTATTGTACCACTGGCCCTGGGGAACATGCACTGGACCCACATACGCGAATCTGCAGCTCTGTGTTTTGCTGTCTGCTTTGTTACACACTGACCACGCTCTCAGCCAGCCTTTAGCCTTCACTGCTGCGTGCTTTAAAACTTACGTCTCAGCAGAAATGAATGTTTTTCTGGGCCACAAAGGCCATTCAGCCAGAAAACAATTTCCTGTTTACATTTTTAACTACACGGGCTGTGTGCCATTGGAGATCCAAGTGTGCATTAGGAACACGCTAGGGGACAGGGGCAGGATGGACACACACCTTTCAGAGACAGCACTTATGGTTGTGTGTAGCTCCCTGGGGGTGCACTGTCAGGCCTGTGCTTTCTCTTGCTGTGGATTCTGGTGCTCAAAGAACAGTCTCAGTGAAAACACAGTTTTTAAAAAGGAGCCAAAACCTCACATTTGCCTATTTTATTCTTTGATGGGCAGCTGACCAAAGGGTTGGAGAGGAAAGGTTGAAATTACCACAATCTGGCTGGTAGATTTTAACTGGCCATGTTGGCCATCTGACTTGTTTCCGCAGATTATGCAAACACCTTAGCACCTAGGTGAAATGACATTATGTCACAGAAGGTGCAAACACAGATGGCTGAGAAGATGTGGAGGCAAGCTAGCCGTACAACCACCTCAGTTCCTGAATCTTAGCTGGCTGCTGGACTGTACAAACAAAGTTCTTTATGAGGGAGGGCAGCTGCAGGTGGGAAGTCGGCAAGAATACAGGCATGTCCTATATGAGGATATATAGGAACTGCACTAGGGCTCCACCAATTCAGACATGACACTGGTATTGAGTGTGTGTGTGAGCGTAAGTGTGTGAGTGCATGGGTATGGAAATATATACAAAATATATACATGAAGACCTGTGGCAGCATTCAGAGAACACCCTGTGCAAAGTTCATATCCTCCAACGAATCTGATTAAACAGTTATTAAATGTCATCATGTGTATTATATTTCTAGCGTATGTATCCTGTGAGGGAGGAAGTCTCGTTCCTCTTGCCGTAGCTAGATTATCTATGTAATTCCTGTAGGTATTAAAGAGCTAACTAGGGAGTAAATTAGTGGCTCTCATTAAGCTGTCCAAGAAGCCCACAGACAGGCACTGCTGGAATTTCCACTTCACAGATGTGAAACCCTGGGCTATGGAAAGGCTTGTCAGTCTTTAAGTGACAGGGCCAACATTCACTCAATGCCCTGACCCAAAGCCTGGCTCTCATTGCTAGTGTTCTGTCTCTGAGAAAGCAGGCCCTCCTCTGCTCCTCTAGGCCCTGAAAAGCTTAACAGACCCAGGCACAGCATTAGAGATTCTCTTACTCACTGATTTATGAGTTTCCTTCAGATGCCTAACATTTGCAAGGGAGAATGGAAATACAGCAGCAGACTCAGAAAGGCTCAGCACACAGGGAATTCCAATAGACTCCACAGTCCTGCTCCATTGTCCTGTCTGGTGGACTCACAGAGCAGATGGCATTCATACAAAGAAAAGAAATGAAACTCACAGAGAAGATTTCAGTCCATCAAAGACTCATTGGTAAGCAACCAGAATGAGCAAGATGATAAAAACAATTTGCCAAAGTTTCTGGCTTTAAAGAGCTTAAAGTATATTTGACAAGATGTAAGAGGTCAAGAAGAAAACTAGCACTAGAGAGAGCAGAAATCATTAGTGGGAGGTCAGCGACTGTGCCTGCTGATCCAGAAACAGCTGACTATCACCTAAGCAGTCTTCCCGCGTACTTGGGCTGGCCACTGCTTTCCTTGGCCTCTCTCTGTCCCACTACATAATGGGCCAGTCAGTAAGGCCTGGAAAGGAGTCCTAAATCATGGCCCGAACCAGAAAGCTACGCGAGACAAGGGGAGGGTCAAGAGAACAACTTGGGCTCCTGTGGGAATACTACAGGATAATCCCAAAGGATCTACAAAGTAGTTGTCTACTGAGGAAACGCCTCTAGCTTCCTATGTCTTATGCACAGGAAGCATAGTTTGAGAACACAATATGGGGTTCTGAATGTCGTTTTACATCCTCAGACATCCCAGCAGTTCCTGGCCAGGAAAACAGGGCAGAAATTATCTGGGGGTGAGGCTGGAATGCAGGGCACTCATAACTCTTGTAAGAAGTGACTCTTCATGTCCCATGTCAGCTGCCATAAATATTAACTGCACATTTTAATGTCTAGCAGCATTTTATCTGTTTGATTTGGTCATAGCAATAAGCATTTATTTGCTATGAAATGACCACAATTTAAAATCTATTACCACTGTGTCAATGTTGAGGAAATAATAAATTGAATACTCCACAGTACTTTTTATGGTGTTTTCAACTACTGAAGCTATTATGCCTTTTATTTGCACATCATAAATGTCCATATCAACAATACCAGTGCACACTGTTTTATACACTGAAGAATGCCGATGGCAAAAGAAGGGTTGAATACACAGACACTCATCTAAGAGACAATGAGACACTCTTTTAGTTTTGATGGAACTCATACAACCTACAAGAGGGACTTAAAATGTACAGGGATGATAATACTCACATGTGCATACACATCAATTTCCTCTTCACTACAACAGTGACTGGCTACCAGTGACTTATCAAAATGACAAGAACCGACAACAAACAAACAAAAACTCTCAGACCACAATAATCCCAAACAAAACAGACCAACAAAAATCAGTCACTTTTACCTTTGGCCCTAAAACCTCCATTAAGAAATTCTCGATTCTTTTCCCACTGTCAGAGCCAAACATAACAAACAATCAAGGTTAAAAACAGGAGGAAATAACTTTCTAACTCCAATTTTAGCAGATGACCCTTAAAGATCTCTTACAACCCTCAGCCCAGCTGGGTATTTCCCAGCGGAACACCCCAGCATATTTTTCACCCTAAATATTCCTGGAGTCCTGCCAAAGCCTTCATCAGGGCCCAACTACAGCAATAACAGCTTCAACTTTAGCACGAAGGAAGTCTGCTCGGCTGGTTTGTCTCCAGTTGGGAGGCTCACATCAGCTGTAGCGTGCTAGCCCATGGTGTCCTCAAAAGGACTCAGCAGCCTCGGCAGCGTCTGACATTCAGCACAGTGAGAGAGTAACAGCTCAGGGAGATAAGCCGAGGCCTTGGCAGCGTGTGAGGTTGTGGCTGATAGTTCAAGTACAGTGTGTAGTAATGTCATCAGCTTGACACCTTTCTGGGGTGACTCACTTGAATGACGGAGTGTGTGATGCACCGGCCAGGGCATGTTGGCCATGTTGTGAACAGTACTATACCCGGGCAGGGCTCCCAATCCCAACAGATATGTAGCAGATTCTTTAGGTCTTCACACCACAGTTAAAGAATTTGTGTGAGATGAAGGAAGCTCTTACTAGAGACATAAACTCACCAATACACAGAAAGTTTATCTTCAGCTAGGGATGTATGCCATAGCATATTTATCTAGGATGTGCAAGGCTCTGGGTTCAATCCACAATACAAAAGACAAAAGAAAGTTAATCTTTCTAAATTCTTATAATCAATTTATGACTTTGCAGAAAAAATTAAAAATACTCAAAACAAAAAAAGCAATGAAGTTATGTAATAATTTGTATGACTGATAAGCACTGTTAACATCTTGGCATATTATATGCGTGGTTAACAGGCTATTTTTAAGTTACTCAATATAAGGATTTCCAACGTCATTTAATAGACTTTGGTACATTTTCCATTGGCTAGTGGGCATGTTATTGTACGGTATACCTGGTTTATGTAGTCATTCTCTCTGTGTGCACATCCAGACTGCTAACCCTTTAGCTAATATAAATAGTGCTGCCATCATATCCTTGTAGAGGATCGCTGCCTGTGTCACCAATTGTTTCCTTAGCATAAATTCCTGGAAGTAAAGTTAGTGGGTAAAAGGTTAGAATCTTCTTTTAAGGGTCATGCTATATCCTGCCAAATAGTTCTTTTTCAAAACACTCTAGGAAATGCACCCCACCAACACTGAGCACTATGTCCAAAGACTTGGTATGTTGCTGTCGTTTAAGATTAGCTTAGACACCTCCTCTTTCCCAATGTTTCCAATAATGTACAAACAAGCGTGATTTTCTCCCGGCGTTCTGTTTTTACATGGGAGCAATGTTTAATTTTTCAAAGGGCATTCTGCAAAGAACTGAAGAAGGGACACCAACACCCAGACAGACGGATAAGCAGGGACACTGAGCATCTAGTCTGACTGTGGAGCTACACCAAGAGGAATGGGAATAGCAAGTATTCAGCTAGCTCAGAATTCTTAAAGACTAAACAGAAGTTCTGAAGGGGAGCCAAAGGTTGCTAAGTCAGCATCACACTGTGGAGAAGACATAAAACTTGCATTTATGGCTCTGCCAGAAAGGACCCATAATCTGTAGCCCACATGTGTGTAGTTCAGGCCTGGGCGTGGGATGACCTTAACAGTTTATCTCTCCTTCAGACCTAGAATTGGGACTGAAGTCATTAAGGTCAAAGTGAGGATGTCTTTATTCTCTCTCCCCAAAAGGAGACAGAAAAACCAATAGCATCTAGATAGTGCAATTCCAGATTAGTGAGTGCCTCTTCCCTGGAAAACATCCCTTTATAACTTGAAGTAGAATATCATAAAGAGAGAAAGGAAATAAAGCTATCTGGGCAAACAGAGTTGAGAGGAGCACTGGTCAGTACGATGACAATAGTGGATCAGAGAAAA